GGTGTATGTCCCATTGAGCAGGAATCCTTGCGATGCCGGGTCGGGTTCGTCGTCGTGATCGCCCTTTGTCGGCCTAGAAAGAATCAAAATCAGTACGCAGACTGCAGAAATTGACAAACAAGGTTGCGAGGATCTGTGCCTTCTGGACCTAGAGTTCAAGCAGAAGCAAAACGAAAATAGGACTCTGAATTGAATGCAACTCACGGGAATATGCACAAAGACGAGGGCTGGTGGAACTTTCCCCCACTGCGAGGCATGCCATTCACTCGGCATATATAGAGAGGACGAGAACGCACCACTCGCGCCATGAGTTCAGCCTGCTGTTCGATATACGGCGGCACCGTGTTCTCGTCGACCCAGTAGTAGTTCGCAGCCTCGGGTACGGTTCCTATGGACGAGTTATGCTAACCGGGTGTGGTCAATGGAAAACTACAACAAACCAGATCCGCTCCCATCTGGGTCCCCCGGCACGAACGACCGCGAGTCGAAGAACCACATGATCATCGCGGGGACCACGTCGGCCGATTTCGCGTATACGGGAACCCCTTGAATGTTCGAGTCATCGCAGAATGCCAGGGATCCAGGACCTACAATAATTGCCCAACCCGTAAGGCTTGGGCCCGACATCGGAGCGGGTATAAGAGAGCGTCTTTCCGTAGTGTTTCTGTTCGTATCTAAGGAATCCATGAGCTCAACCGAGAAGCAAAAAAAACCAACTCGATCTCGTCTTGGTGATTAATATGGTCCTGCGCATTGATCAGCCGCGCAACGGAGCTCAGAACTCTGAAACAAACCGCGTTATCATGCTAGGTTCTTCATAAGTGAGTTCTCGCAACAATAACAATGGCACCAACATTTCCGTGCGTCGAGGAGAACGGAATACCCCGCTTCACGGTCGGCGCAAACAGGACGTCCAGATACTTTGTGGCGTTTTCCTGGAAGGTGTTTTCCCCTGTTCAAGGTTCAATCGTGCCAGTGGTCATGTTAGCAAGATAGAAGCCGCGGCATACCTGTAATCAAATCGCCGTTGAAGACGCTGGAAAGAATACAGCCAGCGTTCAACTCTAACTAGAAATCCACATACGCATATCTCGGCCGCTCGTTATCCAGCACAGTCGCATGCACAATCGAGGTATTCACATCTTGCTGTGGGCCCCAATCTTAATTATACCAGTGAGACGGGCGCACTGGAAATATAACAAAGGCACGTACCGACATCCTCGCCTTCGCCCATGTGCATGTCCGAGAAGGACACAACCTGAAGATGTTTACACGTACTACATAGTGGCAGTCGTAGCAACGCACCTTGAACTTGCCGTGTCCATCGAACATGAGCTTTGGTTTCCCGCTGAGAACTTCAAGACCAGCAAGCCTGCACGACAGTGGCAGTGGGACGCCGCTGACCGTCAAGGTGACGCTCCGAGTCCATGCTGCTAGTATTAGGAGGAGTCCTTGCACTGAGTCCAAGAACATGGCAGTCGTGGCGTGAAGCAAGCAGCAGCAAAGTTCGCCGGTAATAGGATGGCTTGCGCACGTTCCTTCAGGCTTCCGATCCCATGACATTTCTTCGACAACATTGAGAAGGCGAATACATTGTTCAGACGGCCATGTTGGAGGATTGACATTGATTGAGGTCGTGTTGGTTGTTTATCGCGCCCGGTTTGCATACATTATGAGGTCGTGTTGGTTGCGAAGAAGTGCCAGTGATGCGTAACTTGAAAAATCGGCCGAAAGCGCCGAACAGCCTCTTTTGACATGAACGAACACCTACGGACATTCAACATTCGCAGAACGAGCGGACAGATGGCATTGCAGGGCGATTTAAGTACGAGGTCAGCACACGAGAAGACCTTATCCTTCCATGCGACGCGTCGAAATGGACCGATCTGTCGAACTATACAGTTTTGCGGGAATCGTCTGCTAGGAACGAAGAGTCAATGTCCGACAAGCTGCTGCGCTGCAATTTTGCTCTACTGGAACGAGCTCACAGCAGGTCACGCTACGGTTCATCAAGAACCCTTTCGCCACCACCATCAACAACTTCAAGCAAAAGATTTACGCCTCTGGGCTCCTCGGCGGCGCATCATACGCCATATGGTATGGCTAGACAACGCGGACAACGTGATATGTGGGTTCCACACTTTCCATCACCAGCTGGCGACAAAACACACATAAAACACATAGTGGGATCCTAGGGTCCCAGCAGCCGCCGTAGAATCGATGGGCGCCAACCCATCGCGCCCTGCCTCCTCCGGAGCGCGCATCCTCCGCCGAGGATCCACTCGCGCACCGCCTGCAAACACAGAGTCGGCTCTCGAGATGTTGCGCAACTTTCAAACGGTTCTGATCGTTGATGACTCTCGGTCCATGAAGGGAGACCTCTGGAAGCAGGTGCGTGGTGGGGTATGAAAAATCCTGTTCATGGCTGAATTGGACTCAGGCTGGCAAGGCACTGCAGGACCTGGCTGCTGTTGCATCTGAATACGACACTGATGGGCTGGAGATCCATTTCATCAATTCGCCTTTGTGCGCAAAGCAAGTCAAGGTATGTAATATCCCGTTCGTCTGGTCGAGCGCGCCGTCACGACGAAAATACAGACCGCGGAACAGGTGGAAGACATCTTCAACAGTGTCACTCCTACCAACTCGACGCCCATCGGACGAAAGCTACACGCCCTCCTCGCTGAATATCTTGCGGCGCTGAAGAACGACCCTGACCTCAAGCGCGTCAACTACATCATTATCACGGACGGTGCCCCAAGTTCGTCTTCCACTTGTTTATCTCTCCTAAATAACCAGCTCGACCAGCCGACCGATCCGAACTAGAGCCAGAGGCCGTCATCGTCAATGCTGCGCGGCGTCTTGACGCGATGCACGCATTCATGACCCAGGTCGGAATCCAGTTCGTCCAGGTAGGCAACAACGAAGCGGCGACCCGATATCTCGAGTCCCTTGACAATAACCTCCGAACACGTTATGATATACGGGTACGTGATGTCCATCCTGTTTCTCAGCTCGATATTCAGCTGGGAGCAGGATATCGTCGACACGACCTTCGCCCCGGTCGACAAACCTCTGGATATGATTAAAATTCTCACTGGAGGGATCAATCGCAGGGTCGACGAGCACGGTTCCGGTTCAAAGGCTGCCCTTGAACATTCATGAAATATGCCACGAGAGAGAAAAAACATGTACGACCGCATGAGCCCATGATTAACGTTCACAACCTCGTGCACGACCATTTCAGCACTCCAGCGTCTGTCACACTGGCACTCGTCAACATATCCGCCGGATGGCTTCCCGGATCCCCGCGCTTGACCAATATAGCTTCCGCACGTACGCTCTCTTCAGGAAACACCGACTCCCACATCTCCACCCACGACGCCGCAGAGTGGCAGAAACCCTCGCTAGCCATGACGCCTGCCTGGCGGAACGGCCGTGCTCTCATCCCCTTGACTTCTCTGCTGACGTGTGCGCCGAGAATGAGCGAGCCAGGTTCAGGAGATAACAAACCCTCGAGTATACGCGCCAATTCGAGCTGTTTTTCCTCGGAGAAAAGATGGAAGAGGTAGGAAACGTGGATGACGGAGAGGTGTTTGTTGAGCGGGGTCAGCGACGTGAGTGTGGATAGCGTCGGTGGAGTTTCTATCTTCGTTCCAGGGGCAAAGAAATCTAGGTCAAAAATATCCCCTGCGAGAAACTTTATCGGCAGAGTTTCTGGCGTGGATCTGAACAACTCGTGGCCATAGTCCCAAAATTCTGCAAACCACAAACACGGTAAGTTTGGAACATTTCAAAATTATACAATTCACACCTTGACGAAGGTCGCAGCCGATTAGATTCTGAGCTGGGAACCCATCCGCCGCGAGTTTCCGCAAATCTGTGCCAACTAGAAGCCAGCTCAAGCTCTCAAGCTCGCTTGAGTGGTGGCTAAAAACTTACAGCAACATCCCAAATCGAGACCCAGCGCATCTGGACGCTCCCGAAGCAACGGTAATATCTGAGGGTACGCCGGCAGGCGGGAGATTCGCAATCTGACAAATATTCAACAACTGCAACTTCAACGCGTCAATCAACTCACCTCGCAAACGAAAACGAGCGGATACACGGATATCCATAGACCTATACGCGCCATCACCACACCGGAAGTCGTCTGGAGTCGTTGAAGAGACCTTGTAAGCTTTCGCTTGGATCTCCAGGACGTGTTTCTTCAACTCTTCCGAGTCCTGTATCCCGATTTGCTCCCTCAGAAAATTAATCTCGGGATCGTCGATCTACAGGGCGGTAAGTAGACATGTTCAGCGCTCAGTCGTGACAAACCTGGAAGGTATCCCACATAGTCTCGTCCAATGGCGGAAAATAGGGTGCTTCCTCCATGATTTTGGCGTGGGTTCTGAGTTTGTGAACACGGCCTGCTGTTTATATATTCTCTGCGGCCCCGCTCCGGCGATCAAGGGAAAGCGGATCCTGTGCCTGGTAGGTTTACACGGAGTTGCCGCCTGACCTCTGTGCGAATGTCTTTGTGAAAAATTTAGGCTGAGAGGAAGGAAAGGAAGACTGATGCTTTTTGCGGCGCCGGGGAACTCTTCACCAAAAATAACAGATTTCGATCCTCTGGAATTAGCATTGGCTTAGTTTTCGTTGCAATTGCATAGTATCGAGTAAATTACTTGTCCAGGCGCAGGGGGGGGTTGGGGTTCGAAGGCGAATGGACCTGATTTGGCCATCCCCCTGCATTTTCGCTCCCATTTGCTCAGTTTTGCTTGTTTGGCCTGAGACTTTGGCAAGGGACTCTCGGACAATGTTTTGAGGGCGCTGAATACTCACCGGAGCCGTAAAAGAAAGTGGTCCATCAAACGATGGGTGGACATACCAAGATCAGGTGTGCAACTTGCGCAGGCTCGTGTGGGCTCAGTTCTTATTCAGTGAGGCTAGGATTTTGACAGCATATGCACGGACGACTGGGCAAATAATTAGACTGTCGTGCGGTGCAAAATTTATGCGTCCGCCGGGAGTCGAACCCGGTGCTAGGCCAATTTTAATGTGACTGCCACCGTCACACTGGGAAGACCCAATGTTACCGATACACCACGAACGCCTCAGAGAGCAGTCAGGGAAGGTTTGGGAAGAGTCCATTTGTGAAAAGAACGAAGAAATAGCGCAAAGAACGAAGGAGTTACAGAATTAAGCCGCAAATGGCACATTCTCGTCGACCCCTTCGATTCATCGCCCCTGGTTTTTTACGTAGTCCATTTGTATGATGACAGACCACAATCCTAAGAAGAAACCTAAGAGAACGGTCGAAAACTCGCGACGAACGAAGGTTCCCAACAGATCAAGCAGGTCACGACAAGGTCACGATGGGGTAACTGATGGCCTGGCACCACAAAAACTCAGCAGCAAGAAAAGCTGGCTGCAGATTCGGAATCTGAGAGGTCAATAATGGTGGGCTAGCATTTTCTGGAAGCCATTTGCATGCCTGGAAGCTGAGATAGGTCGATGCAATCTGAGCTTGATGGATCTTCGTCGCGAGTTTTTGACCGTTCTCTTAGGTTTTTTTTTTCCGAGGATTGTAGTCTGCTCTCATACTGTACTATTTCGACCACAAGTTCAGCGGGTCTTACGCATTACGCGTGACCATCGTCTTGTCACAAGTTCATCATGATGAAATTACTATATAGGGAAGGCCGGCAACAGCCGGCCGAAATTTTTGATGAAATTTAGCCTAATTAGGCAGGAATTTGATGGGAAATTTGCCGTTTACGCATTACGCATTTGGATAGGTTTGGTTCAAAAGTCCCACTTACATATTACGCGAACTTATGGTCGAAATAGTACAGTATAAGAACGGATTCCGTAGAAAACCGGGGGCGATAACTCAAAGGGAGTGCCTTCCTCCAGGCTCTGTCTGCATGGGTTGGGTCAACTTGGGTGGAACCAGCCGCCGGCGGCTGGTCAGAGGTCAGAACACCATAATGTCATGCCTATTGCAAAAAGTGTGCGCCTGCCGACTCGAGCTCGGGCTAGGCAGTCACTTCGGAAATTCTTGGAGGGTTTCCCGTTACAATTAGTTACCGTTACACCACGAACGCAATGACTTCAGAAATTCTCGCAGGTACAATTAGTTACCGTTACACCACGAACGCAATGACTTCGGAAATTCTCGCAGGGTTCCCCGTTACAATTACTTACCGTTACACCACGAACGCAATCACTTCGGAAATTCTCCCGTTACAATTACTTACCGTTACACCACGAACGCCCTGTAAGGTACACTGTATAAGAGCATAGGATCGCAGTATTTGCCCAAGAACTGCACAGAATTAACCAGAGGGTCCGAGTCTCCATTTAGCTGTAGAGGAATAAATGTGCGGTAATCTAAAATTTTTTGGTACACAGCAATACAAAGATATGATATAACTTGACGGCGACAAACCCATTCAACTACCAAACCATGGTGATGAGCAAAGAGCACCAATTGTCAAGGGTTCAAGCGAATTGACCTGCGATCTAGCACCTACCTCGGCAAGATCGTGCTTTTCACCACGCAGCAGGTCCACGCTTCGCCCCTAGACGCACTGTAGCGGGAATTGCAGCTCTACGCCGACACCGCGACAGCCTGCGGGCCGGATCGCACGCGACTACGACTCCTGCTCCTACTCCGATTGCGCTGCCACCACCGCGGGGACCGTTCCGGAGTAAGGTTCTGATGCGCAAGAGACGACGCCGACGAGTGGTCCGAGCTGATAAAAGAACTCGCAGAGGACGACAGAGACGGGCTAACCGCGCTGGCAGCGACCAAGCGGGTAAACGGACTGACGAGCCGCGGGTCGCAGACGGGTGTCGGGTTGAAGATGGCCTCAATAAGAGACTCTGTGGGACGAGGGCCGTACGCAAGGGTGAGCCCAGTGGTTTCTTCCGGGGGAGCATACAAGTCCAGGGCTCGCGGACGCGTGCTGAAGACCTCGCTGTGCGTCGTCAGCAACGACGTGAGGCCAGCGAGAATTTCTCCGTGAGGAAGCGGTGGGGCGATAAACGGGGGTGGTGTTGTCGCGACGGGTTCTACGCGGATGGAGAGTCGCAGCGTGGCATTGGTCTTGCTGTCGCGGAGGAGATAGCGGCGGTTGACGACGCCTTTCGGGGATCCTGAAGCAGGCACGCTGTCCGTGTATTCAGCCAGGTCAATGTCGACGGCCCCAAGACGGGGGTTTCGTGGAGCATTGGGGTCGCCAGTAACAACGCGTTGGAGAATGGTTAGTTTGAAGGGGTGCGGCAGCAGCTCATGCGAGTCGCGGTCGATGGACATTTGCACCAACACGGATAATGGATGGTCCCAGGTCACAGAGTGGTCGCGGAGAGGCTGCCAGGGTGTTTGGCCGCGTGCAGAAGTCGTTTTCTTCGTCTCCAGCAAATAGTGGTTCCGCGGCAATGGGATCCTCCTCCGAACCCAAAGTCGACGTCGACGACCCTTCCTGACCATGCTCCGGCACCTGCAACGCATCCTCATCCCTCGTCCGACCCCTGACCTTGACCTTCTGGGTGTTCTTGAACTTCCACCGCGCAGAAAACTCGCCGTGAACTAGTGGCACGCTCGCCAGCTGGTGGATCTGGATGCGGACCCGGAAGACAGCGTGGCGAGGAAGGAGGTGATGCAGCTGGGCCTTGAGTCCAGTGGGACGCAGCTCGTCGGTCATTGGAGGGACATGCGAGTGGACAGGAGCCAAATTTTATGCTCGGTATTGGAGCGGCTGTCAAGACATGGCACATAACATAAGCGCCCACAATGACGTGTTGGCATCATTTCTACATCTAGGGCTTCACAACAACCTTGAGCGCCGTCTTGCTCTCCAACTTATCCAGCGCCTTCTGGTAATCATTTACCGAGAAACAATCCGTCACCTCGAGCGCGCATCAGACATGCCCCATGGCCATCTGCCCAAGAGGACAGCTTGACTCACCATGCCCTTGACTCGCACCTTTCCGCTATCCAAATATGCCACCGCCCGCGGGAAACAAAACGTCTGTGCAAAGGAACCAATGATCTGGAAATGCCAGTCAGATTGGATGGACAAGTCAAGATGACAGGCGCCGACCTTGATCTCGTCGCCGAATATCTTGGATGGTGGCCAATGGACGAGCGCGTCGTTTGCATAGACTCCGTATACCATCAGCGTCCCGCCCCGCCGGACAAAGTTGATGCTCTCGTTGGCCACTGCTTCAGAACCAGTCGCTTCGACCTAGAGATCCTGAAAAAAATGACAAAGGGAGTACTCTCGACACATACGACAGCATCAAATCCATACGGGTACGACTCTTTCAACGCCGACCACGCTGCGGCGGGAGACTCGCGGTCAATCTCAACATACTCGTCCGCAGCATTCAGCTGGCGCGCAATCTGCGTCTTGATGCCCTTGTTCGCAGCAATAACGACGCGCGCAGCACCGTTGAGCTTTAGCAGTTGCGCGAGGATGAGGCCAGTCGGTCCAGAACCGAGGATCAGGACCTCCGCGCCGACAGGGAGATTGAGTTTGTCTGCACCGTGGACAGCACATGCGGCGGGCTCGACAAGCGTTGCTTCCTCGTCTGTAAGATTGAAGATTTTGTACACCTTCTTGCTCGCCCTGTTTGCTTTCTCAAGTCCTCCAGACGCGTATACCGAGCCAGCACTCACACAGTGACGTACTCCGCAAACCCACCGGCCTGTGTAACGCCCAAACTGGCAAAGTTCTCGCAAAGCAGCGACTGTCCACGACGGCAGTAAAAGCAGTTGTCGCACTGCGGGTGTGATTGAGCCACGACCAATGTTAAGAAACACCTACTGTTATCCCAGGATCCGCAACACATCTATCGCCCACCGAGAATCCAGTCACCGACTTGCCGACTTTCGAGATGGAGCCAACGATTTCGTGGCCGGGAATCAGTGGGAACCTCGCGATAAACTCGCCTGGGCGGTGTTAGAGAGCTCGCAGCTCCAAAAACGGTCGTCGTCCAAAAACCTTTCGCGATGTGACTGCAAGCGGGGTTAGCGCGCAAGAGAATCGCTCCAGCCACGAACCTGTCGGTCCCACAGATGCCGCAGCACGAGACTGTACGTGCAGTCAGTTTTGCGTCCAGATAGATGAAAGAAGGACCTTTAATCTGGACCTGGTCGTCGGAGATGTCGGCAATGGGCGCAGACGCGAGGACCTCAAAGTTTTGGACCTGGGAGCGCGTTAAGCGTGTCGTTTGGTGTGAAACGCGAGGAGTACGCCGTGGTAGTAGACTGCGTTCATGGCTGCAAATTTGCCAGCGAGTCCGATAAGGAAGAGGAAGAAAGCGAAGCCGGACACAAGGCGCGTGACGGTGTTACGGCCCGGGCCCGCTCTCTTCCGAGTCCGTCCAGCGAATGTCCAGCGAAGGATTCAAGATCTATGTCTATGTACTCGAAAGCTACAGATAAATATATAAGCAACAGCTATAGATACAGGCAACGAAAGCAAGTCGACTGATCACCACTTCCCACTGTTTGTCCGCGCAGGCCACGACGGTCGAGCAAGTATCCTGCCAGGCTCAAAAGGCGGGGCGCGGCCGGACAACATCGACGAGTTGGAGCCGAGGGACGAGGAGGAATCGTTGGCACGCGCGGATGACGAGCGTTGGTGTGCTGGCGGTCGCCAAAAGGTGTTCCCATTGGAGCCAGATGAAGACGAATTTTGGGTCGGTCGTTGAATGGGTATTGGTGTGGGTCGAGTGAGAACGCCAGGGACGCCAGGTCGCGGTGCCCATTGCTGAGGATCTGGTTCATCGGGGCTCTCGGGAGAGTCTTGCGAGTACGCATAGCCCAACGGGTCGACCTCGATGCGCTCGATTTCCAGCTCGATCTCGCGCAGCTGCTCCTCGAGGTCGGGGATGACCGTCTCCAGCTTTTCCCGCTTCACAGTGAGCTTTTCCATCTTGTTACCCAGTCCCGTCAGCTCGCTCTTCATCAACTCGAGCTTCCGCCGCTCCTTCTCTTCCTCCCGTTCTCGTTCCCTTCTTGCCCGGTCTGCGTCCTCCTTGACACGCAAGTACCCCTCCTCCCGTCCCGAACGCTCCCGCAACAGCGCTGGTAACTCCGCC